AATCAAGTGTCATCCACTCCCACCCTCTTTCACACACCATCCCACCACCAGCCTTTATATTGACAGACACAGAGGGAGAGGCGGTAGGATCTGTAACTCAAATCTCTCAGACTTGTCCTGAAGAGTCCTTCGGAGCATACCGTTCTCTGCTAAGTTTGCTCTCCACAAAGCAGTAAAAGTAAAAACCTGTACCCAACAGGAGGACATTCCTACAGATTCCCAGACACATTAAAAGACGAGGAACGATGAGCTGTAAAAGCATCTTCTCAGCTGAGGGGACTCAGGGCCTCCCATTTTCGTTCAGAAGGGCCACACAGACACCGCCCCGAGAGCCCACTGGCGGAAAGTGGTCTCCTCTCCCCAAAGGCAGATCAAACACAGATGCCTAAGGAGGAAGTGGGGTGAGGACCACGTCCCACCGATCAGAGCCGAAGCCATATACACATTTCTTGCTTCCCCTCCTTAGATCTCAAAGTCTACTTGAACCAGAAAAACACCCGCTTACCCAGGAAGAGACTCTCCTCCAGGCTTGACGAAACAGTTTCTCCTCTCAGCTCTGTAAAGACATATCCTTTAAACAAATCCTTTCTTCTCCCTTCAGTTTCTCCTCAAATGGGCAGGATGACAGCTGTTACCACTAATCCTCAGCAACCCCAGGAACTGTCCCTCAGAGTCCAAATCCAGTCTTAATCACACTGAGTTCTCTAAGACCACGTCCACATCCTCACAGTTTCCACGTCAACATTGTTCAAGCCGCTGTGAAGAACTGGAAAGAATTGGGACCGGTTTTGCACACGACCGCCGCTGGCATCCTCAGCAGGACACGGACGCCCTCCTCTTGGTCTGCCTTTCAAGGGGAGAATGATCGCATCGAACAAATCTCAGCATTCTCTGCTTCTGAGTCAACAAAGGCTGGAGAAGGTGTCCCCAGTGAAGTGAGACTGAGGCCATCCATGACCAGAGATGAATGCTTGGTACAAAAAAGTACCACCTAGCACACCCCCTCCCCACAAATAGCGCTGCGGCTGGAATTCGCTCATTCGCATGCGCACAAGGATCGCCCTAGACACCAGACAACAGTGCAGAGCCTCAGGTCAGCGGTTCTCACAGTGGGGTCCCCAGAACACCTGGGAACTTGTTAGCAACGCAGATTCCTGGACCTGACTGCAGACATACGGCATCAGAAATCTGGCCCTTCTGGGGGACTGAGCAGGCTGTGACTCAGGCGATGCTGACGTGAGCGCCACTTGAAGAACGCTGGTGTAGATTCCCCGGGCTCCTTTCCAGACCTTGTGAAATCAGATTGTGCAGGAGAGAGTTCTGGAAATCCGTATTTTTTTGTAACGCACCCAGGAGACAGCAGATTCCTTCGACTAGGCAAGTTAGGAAAACACTGAGTTGAAGAATCACCACAAAATCAGTAAAGCCACCAAGCCTCTCGGGGCCCTATCCCAGCTGGGGTTTAGTGATAAAGAGTTGGGCTTCCCAAAGGACATTGGGCTCACTACAAGCGTCACGAATATGGGTGTCTGAACACCGACTTTCATGAGATTAACTGTGAGAACCCCAAATCTTTGTCAGAGTTACATTTGAACTGTATCTAAAACAGTGAGCAAAATTTCCCGTGACAACCAAGAATGGAGAATATTCTAGGATAAGAGGAATGCCTTTTACTACATGCCCCTGACTATAGTCTCACTGTTCAAAGGATGGTCTGTGGACAAGCAGCACCAGCATCACCCGGGAGCTCGTTAGAAATGTAGACTCTCAGACCCCCACCTCAGAGCTACTGAGCTGGTTTCTGCATTTTCGCAGGCTCCCTAGATTGTCTGTATGCAAGTGAAGGCCCGGAAGCACTGCTCCAGGGAACCGACCCAGATCTCAGCCCTTGGGAGAGCCCCTCATACCCTGTGACGCCACCCCTCCCACCATGACTGGTCAGAGGTGGCCACCTTACCCGAGACCAGCCAAGCACTGGTGGGGCAGCGACCAGCCAGACTGCCTTGGAGAATCGAGACCTTTTGAGAAACACAGCTCGTCTGAACCAAAAGGCTAAGAAAAGTTAGGACTGGAATAGGGGACATACAGGGCCAACCTGAATGTCATTTCTGGGAGCTTGCTCCCTGTCACATCCTTCTTCCCTTGTTTGGAACTAATGTGAGAGCGCTTTCGTGGGTTTGCTTGTTTGTTTTTGTTTTCCACCTCTGAAACTTGACCAGGGAGTCCTGAGAGGGGCCTGGCGTGTTTCAGACATGCCTGGAAAGAAGGTTCTAGGGAGAGGAAAGCCAGGTTGGAAACTTGTGGCAACCAGACGCTGAGGGGATTTGCGCATCATAGTAAGGAGGGCCGGCCACGATGGGTGGGAAGGAGGGAGCTCGCGTGGCTGTGGAAGCAGCAGAGCAGTAGGACGGCAGTGGAGTCCAGAGGACAACTTCAGAAGAGCCGGGGAGGGAGCCCAGGGACTGCGGAGAAGGCCGCTGTACTGCAGGCCCAAAGAAGGATGAGGCGAACAGTGACCATGAGGACAGCGAGAGGGCGGGACTCAGGAGGTCACTGGGAGGCAGATGGGCAGGAGTTGGTGACCAACTGGATGCAGGTGTCCTAGCGAGAATCCCAGCCGAGGAGGTGCTGGGTGCATGGGATTGGGGCCCCAGAGACAGCAGCAGTCAGACATTAGACCCAGTCTCCACTCCGGAAAATACTAATGAAATATAAATAAAATGAGTGACGTAATGGGCAAAGCACCAATTTAGAGAACACAGTTCTAGCCCCATCATGTCTGTTTGGGGTCCAAGTTGCTCGGGCCGCCAAGGTAAGTGGAAGGGAGACCTTCTGCTCTGTAGACCCCCTTTCTTGGTGAGGATCTAGCGTACCCCATACGGGGGGAATCTCAGGGATTGAATCTGGCTCCTCTGAGCCTCTGTCTCACCAGGAGGGAGGAAATCTCAACCTTCTGTTAAGTCAGGAGAGAATCTGGGGGGCCCAGAAAACTAGGGGGAGGGCCTTCCATCACCACTCTTACCCTGGTTTTCCAAGGTCACAAGGTCACCGGAAGGCTGCTGCTCAGATGCATCCGTGCACAGAAAGGCTCACATCTCAAGCCAGGCTGGGCTCTGACGTCCCCAGATGCACTGTGTGACCTTGGCCCTCTGAGGGTCTCCCA